GGTTTGATAGAGCGTGAGCCGCTGATCACGATGCACTACTTTTTATCCCTTTAATAAGCTATTTTGTGGTCAAAAATCGCAAAATCCTTGAGAAAACCGACTTTTCTCAAAAACGAGGTTTTTGGACGAAAACTGCAAAAACCACTATGTTCTCGTTCTTGAAACTTCTTGAACATGTTTTTTTCGGATTCAGCATCAAAAACTGAGTCTAGGGAAACGTCTAGAAATATTATTGACCGGAAATTCTTCTAATGGTGACATTTTTAGTATGTGTGACTACACTGAAAATAGGTCGATCTTGTAAACCTAACTACTTTTTCTAGAGAGGTGCGGGAGCGAAATTTTTTTTTCCATTTTAATCATCATGTCACCCTCCATCAAACTACGCATCGCTTTTGTCTTGATCTATTTTCTTCGTGGAGAAAAGTCCATTTTACTGGCAGCATAGGAAATCGGGGAGGTCATTCCTATATAACACATCCATTTTTCATCCAAATCCAATGGAAATTTTTTTCCAATGATACAACTCGATACCAAATTGAATGAGCATCCTCCGAAAAAGCCTATTCAAGGAAGATCTTTGTGGGAGCCTTGGAAAAGCCTCCATGGTTATGTGGCACATAACCATATCTCACATTTTCAATTATATTACATGTGAAGGATTCCCCTTATGATTTTCACAGTTTCTTAAAAGATGCGGAAACTGAAGGCCTTTTAGAGTCCGTAAGTTCGTTCACGTACTGATCAAAGCTTCCAGGTAATGATGAAATGAGAATCTAAGACTCAGACATATTGTTTTCGAAAACTGCATGAGAATTTTTTCGTCATTTTGGAATACAATGGAAACATATTCTCCAGAACAAACATGCGGGGAAGTGTTAAAATTATTATTAGGCCGCCTCTATGGTGCGTTTATTAAATTACATCGACAGCTGTCAAACGATAGAATAAACAACGATTGATAACCTGTTTCTTGTATTCTACTTCCTATTCCTATCTATATTTGAAATAAATTTATTAAAACTTTTCAATTTCTACGCAAAATATCACCAAATATTATATAAGGTACAACGGGCATGCTTAAAAAAGAGAGATATCTAGAAAACCATTGGAAACCGTTTTACTGGAGATACATCTTCGAAGGATGCCCATTCAATTTGGCATCGAGTTTTATCATTGGAAAAAATTTCAATTGAATTTGGATGAAAAATGGATGTGTTATATCCGAATGACCTCCCCGATTTCCTATGCTGCAAGTAAAATGGACTTTTCTCCTCGAAGAAAGCAGATCAACACAAAAGTAATGCGTAGTTTGATGGAGGGCGACATGATGATTAAAATGAAGAAAAAAATTTCGCTCCCGCACCTCTATAGAAAAAGTAGTTAGGTTTACAAGATCCACCTATTTTTAGTGTAGCCACACATACTCAAAATGTCACCATTAGAAAAATTTCCGGTCAATAATATTTGTAGACGTTTCCCCAGACTCAGTTTTTGATGCTGAATCCGAAAAAACATTTTCAAGAAGTTTCAAGAACGAGAACACAGTGATTTTTGCAATCTTCGTCCAAAAACCTCGTTTTTGAGAAAAGTGGGTTTTTTGAAGGATTTTGCGATTTTTGACCACAAAATAGCTTATTAAAGGAATGCAAAGTAGTGCATCGTGATCAGCGGCTCACGCTCTATCAAACCATGTGCAAAAAATAAATAAAAATAAATTTCACTCGATTTTTGCATTGCGTGCACATTACATCAACACCCTTTACCATACCAGAGGTAGGACAAGTACACGTACACAAAGTACACGTACAAGTACTTGTACGTGCATGGATGTACCTGTACTTGTACTTGTACTTGCCAGAAAATATTTGTACTTGTACTTCTAGTAGAGTAGGGGTGGACCATTTAATTTATTTTTACCTAATTAACGGAGCGCGTTAATTGTTAATATTAACGCTAACGTAAACCGTTAACGGGTTGCACTTAACCGTTACTTTCCACTGAATTAACTCATAAACGGTTAAATAATCATAATCTATGATCCTTTCTGACAACTAATTATCTATACGACCCAGCAATAATTACATGTGCCCTGGTAAGATACTCATCTCTCAGGTTAATGCTACCGTCGGAACCAGTCTTGGAAAAAGCCTTTATTCCAAGGTGCATTCCCGCGAATTCTGATTGGTCAATTTCGACCAATCAGCGATGACCGCGATTTTTTTTCAAAAACTTATTTTCGCTGGAAATCGACCATGGGGGCCTTATAGGGTATGGTTACCTATCCTAGAATGAAAGACCGTACTCGATTACCCCAACATTGGCACAGGTAACCAAGACACTATCTTTGAGAATAGCGAAGAAAATGGGAAAATGAATCCTGTAGTCCCATTGGTCCATTTTCGTATCGCTTCGGAGGTTGAAATACAGGTAGAAAGTACTCTACTAGAAGTACAAGTACAAGTACTCTACTAGAAGTACAAGTACAAGTACTCTGAGCTAAGTACAAGTATTTCTACGTTGTACTTGAAAAGTACAAAAAGTACAAGTACATGTACTTGCGTCCTACCTCTGGAATGAATGAATACAATAACTGAAATAGTACCTAAATGAAAGCGATTTAGTATATAGTAGAGAGAGAAAGAAAAAAAAATGGTCTGGGTCCGCTGAGGGGAAGGATCGATCATGGGACGTGTTGTGAAAATGTGGTCGCATATCGTATGAAAACGAACTAAGACAAATGTGTTATAGTTCAGTTGTGTCGCGTGCGAAGGAAGAAGCGAATTAGATGGAAAAATTATAATACTAAAAATGTTCATGAGGGGGAGACGATAAGGATGGCAATGCAAGATAGATGTCGTGTAATGAAGCGCTACTTAAGTAAAGGAAAATGTTAGAAAATAAGGGAAAGTCTTATATAGAAACTGAATAGCTAGAACTAATAGAGTGAAGTGTGAGTGGAATAACAGAGTTAGGAAGGACAGAAAGGTCGTAAATCGTTGACGTGTACGCAAAATTCTCTGTGAGTTTGTTCATCACAAACCACATATGTGGGATGTAGTGTGTGTACAACGATTTTTGGGGATGGTGAAAAGAGAGGATCAAGTTTATGGTTCATGCCATGAACGCGTGTAAGAACGCGATCGCCTACCTTGTAACAGGGTCAGAACGATTAGTATCATAGCGTGATTTATTGCGACCTTGCTGCTGAACGATATAAGATCGAGCAGACTTATGATATATCTTGAGTGTCTTGTGGAGTTGGTCTAAATAATCGCAAGGAGAAGGGAATGAGAAATGAGTCGGAGGGGGATGGAAAGGAAGTTGTGGTGGACGTCCATAAAGTAATTCATGAGATGAATATCGAGTTGTTTTATGCACACCGGAGTTATATGCGAAGACAACAGCCTGTAGATATTCATCCCAATTATTATGTTCGCAATCCTGTAACTTGGAAATTTGCGGGATGAAAGTGCTGTTAAAGCGTTCTACAATGCCGTTAGATTGCGGGTGATATGCTGTACTGTAGATGTGGTTATAGCCGATCAGGGTGCGCATATTAGTCATTAGTTGGTTACGAAAATGTGACCCCTGGTCGCTGACAATTAGACAAGGAATACCGAATTTGCAGAAACAGTCGTTAAACAAGGTTTCGGCTGTAGTGGTCCACAATAATCAATACCGATAGTTTGAAAAGGGCCCTCAGGGTGAGGAACGCAACGAAGACGACCAGGTTTTTTCTGTCGACTGACATTATATCGTTGGCATAAGGCACACGACCGAATGTATTGTTTAATGGAATCGGTCATATTTGGCCACCCAGTAGTGAGGTTTCAATTTCAGATAAGTGCGATCAAGAGAGGAATGTCCACCGGACATCGGATCATCATGACACGCTTGAAGAAGGGAGAGAATCATTGATTGTGGAAGACATAGGACTTCTGTCTTGATTTTCGAGCGACGCGAGAGACAAATCGATTTATACAGAAGGTTCTCCTTCAGGAAGAAGAATGTGAGGTGGGAGTTAGAACACAACTGTGTGATTTGCTGTTGAATATAGGGATCTCTCTGTTGCTCAGTTTGTAATTGTACAATGTCGAAAGTATTAGTAGAAAAAGGGAAATTAACATGACTGGTGTGCGATAGGTCTGGTGCAGGTTGATGAGGTGAATGATAGCTCAATGATGTGTTGTTATCTATAGTGGATGGAGGGGAAGGTGAAACTACTTTGCCGTTGAGGCGAGGTCGTAAAGTCATGGCAGCAACAATGTTAGTGGATGCTGATGGTGGCGGAGCGGTGTGGCTGGGAAGGCCATACTCGACTAGGGGTGGCACTTTACTTTTACTTTACTGGTAAATAGGTAAATAAAATATTTACTATTTACTTCAGTAAAGTAAATATATTATTTACTATTTACCTTGGCAAAGTAAATAAAGTATTTACTATTTACTTTTGTAAAGTAAATATTTTATTTACTATTTACTACGGTAAATAAACGCTATTTTATCAAAACATGACGAACTAGCCCTATTTACTTATTTACTTTACCGTAGTAAATAGTAAATAAAATATTTACTTTACAAAAGTAAATAGTAAATACTTTATTTACTTTGCCAAGGTAAATATTAAATAACATATTTACTTTACTAAAGTAAATAGTAAATATTTTATTTACTTGATCTTATTTACCTAAAGAAAAAGTAAAGTAAATGTGCCACCCCTAATCATACTTTGCTTATTATTGTACGTAACAAGACTTTATTGTAAAAACAGCTACTCTAATTCAATTGAATTTATATATTGTAGATGAAAAACATGCAATTCACCAAGGCTTCTTATTTGTTTATTTTATTCCATTTTCAAACAACAATCACCACGACCAACTCCCTTCCCACCAATCATCTCCAAAATACATTAGATGTCCTACACAATAATCAATCACCATACACCAAATGCCAAAGTCACATTACGCACACCCAATTTCTCCATCTTCTTTCCAAAAATCGATGTCAACCAGTTCTTGATAATTCTCAATCAATGAATAATGAACAGCGACTCCGAAGAGATGTTGTTGGAGGGAGTATCGATGCAAAGGCTTTGCAAAATACAATCAATGACAACCGCATCATGATCGAATACTTGTTCAACAATACAATCAATCATACAGTACTAGCAGATGTTTTATTGAAGCACACCAACAGAATCCCCACATTTACCAGCTGGCGGGATCTTGTTGATGTCATATGTATTGTAACATTTATATTTGTAGCATTATATTACATAATCTGTCGAATTGGAATTCGAATCTGCGATAAATTCATTATCTGGATCTTTCGTCCAGTCCTACAAAGAGTCCAAAAAGCGCAGCCACCAGCACAAAACCAGCACAAAACCAGCACATACCAACTACCAATACTAACTCTAACTCAATTAATACACCAACTGCTCCTCCAACCATTTCTCAGCACTTGAAACATCTCGAAACAATGGCACCATGCATTCCATTTCAAAACAACCGTCCGTTCCAAGCTACTCTCCATTGAGAAAAATATTATTTTCTTCCTCCTCATTCTCACTCAGAACAATTATTATCTCTTGTATCCTTGCATTTTCTTTCCTATTCTCCTGCTTCTCAGTATACATCTTTTAGAAAAAAAAAGAAAACAAATAAAAACGTTCTCCTCTTTAGTATCATCAAATACTTATGACTAATCAGAAGCCATGCACTTCATCACCTCAACATTTATCAAACCACTTTATGTTGTCTATAAAATTTCAGTTTTTTCGTTTTGAATTTCTTGTCATATGATGTCACTAGACTATCATCTGTGTGTTGGTCGTGGAGATGGTGCTGAAGATGTCAATTGAACTTGACGAAACGTCCGAATTCAATAAAATCTTGTTTCTCGTTATCAAAATCACATCATAACAACCATTTCGTGTTAATTCTTTAAAATTAGTCTAAAATTTCAGTTTTTTCGTTTTGAAGCTTGTTGTTCGCAGAACTGTATGGACTGTTCAAGTACCAAACCATCCTCGATCTTGCTTGGTAATCGAAACATCGATGATGATGAAGATATCAGTTGATCAGTGTGGAAATATGCCAATAAAAAGTTGACTTTACGGACAACTTGTGGTTCGATCACTTCATATTTGGCAGAAATCGATGATCAATGGCCAAGTTTTATTTATCATACTTTTGTGAATCGAGAGCAGCGTAAATATATCGAAACTCTTCGAGAAAAATGTAGCGACAGCAGCTTTGCATTGGTTCATATTGATTTTGCCGAAAATTACAAGTTTGTTCGACAGCGAGAACCGCAAGGTGCACACTGGAATACGGATCAAGCTACGCTATTTATAGCGCATGTCAAAATAGGTAAAAAGCATCACTGTATGGCGTTCATAAGCGATTATACTCATGTAAAAAAAGTACTACTTTTTCGCATTAAAATCGGTTACTTCGTAGGAAAATCGATTAAAAGTAGTAAATATTGATTTTTCCACTAAGTAATCAATTATAAAAGATTTTTCTAAGAAAAACCAATTTTCATACATTCTATCGAAGATTACGAATCAAAATCATTCATATTTCTTACGGCAGAACTACGGGCCTTTTGTTTATAATGCGTTTTATTGTTTCCGAAAAACCAAATTACGAATCACAAAAATACGACTTGATTTAGCTTTCTTAAAAACATGCAAAAGAGAGAATCTCTTGCCAGAATTTGTCCGCTTCAGACCTCCTGTGTTTCATCAACGTTATCAATCATCATTAACTCAGTGTTATCGAGACATACTTAACAGTGAAATCAAATTTAAAAAACGTGAATTATCTCAATTGTATCGTTACTCTCATCATTTAAAATGTGATTTAACAACTCATATTGATCATTTAACATTTGTCCGCTTAACTTCTATCATCGAATCCTTCGTTTTACGTTCACAAACTACTTGGAGTCTTTCTCATGAAAACAAATTAATTAAATTTCGTCATCAGCAACATCCTCCACCAGTTCATATTCCTTCATGTGATTATCCGAAACAAGCAGTTCGGAATTTCTCCAAACGTCAATTAACCAACGACGAAATATTAGCACTTTCAAATGGATTAGACTTTGTTTTTCCATCTTCCAAATTGAAAGATGAAACGTTAGTCTCCGACATGGAAGCTTTCTTTGTCTCTTTACTTGGTTATACAACTGATCGAAGAGACTATGAAACCAAAGAGGGAAATGAGCGCGTTCAATACAAATTAACTCCCGAACAGTTAAAATTTTCCACCAAAATTCGACGTGCTACGGACGACTTTAGACACAAATCTCGGATTACTCCGAAGAAAACAAATACCAATGGATCCAAACATTCAGAAATATTAAAGACATTGGCGAAAGACAAATCTATTATCATCACTAAAGCTGATAAAGGGCGATCAGTTGTGGTACTTGATCGTGAAGATTATTTGAATAAGATGGAAATCTTGATTAGTGATCACACAACATTCAAACCAATCGACAATGACCCAACGATTACTGAAGAAAACCGTTTAATACGTATACTTCGCCAATTGAAAGAACGTGGCTTTATTAGTGAAAGTGAATATAACTTTTGTTATCCACGTGGATCTCAACCTGCACGTCTTTATGGACTCCCCAAGGTCCATAAGGACGGTGTACCATTAAGACCGATCCTTTCTGCATCTGGCACCTTTAACTTTGGCATTGCCCAATTGTTAGTGCGCAAACTCTCTCGTCTTGCCAAACACTCTACAGTCATTGAAGATACGTTTAAATTTTTGGATGAGTTACACTCTCTGAAAATCAACATGAATGATCATAAATTACTAGGTTGAGGAAAAAGTTCGTGCGCCGTGTTAAAATAATGATTTTTTTATCCATGAATTTATTTAAAAACAACATCTATTCTTCAAAATAAAGACCATCATTGTCTACGACCTTCTGCCAACGATCTGCAAGCTTTCGGATTTGGTCAAAGTACCACTCCTTCGACTTTGAATTGAAAAAGTCTTCACATGCTTCTTCAACGTCGTCGAATGAGTCAAATCGGCGAC